GTCCGCGTGTTTTATTGTTGCTTTGCTGGACCGTCGCTCACGGCACATGATGGTTATCCTGCATTCTTGAAAGCTAAAGCCGAAAGACTCCCTATATGATTCCACACAAACACACGCCCCTTGGGGGGGCATATAAGGCACATGTGCACACAAAAGAAGACAAGTGAAAAGAACTGAAAGAAGACAAACGAAATAAACGTGCAATGTATGTGACAGGCAATGAAGAGGAAACCAGATGAGCAGGGACAACACATGAGGCAGACCTCATTAAAACAGCGCCGGGCACCTAACAACCTAGTTTCACGGTGCAGGTGCACGTGCACACTAAGGTCGGGGCAGATGCGCGCGCAACAGAACAAAAGGAATGAGGTGAAAGGACACGAAGACGGGAGACGGAGAGACATGAAAGGAAAGAAGATGAAAGAAGAGAAACGATATTGTGTGGTTGCGAATGACAGGGAGAGCAGACGGAGGGACAAACAAGACAAGAACCAAGGCCCGTTGGAGAAAACCTGGGAGACCTAGTGAAACTTGTGCAGCGTACTGTGCACGTTAGGCTACTGAGTTCCGGGCAGAGATCACTAGATCTCAATCTCAAAAACTGCGACCGCTACAGTGCTCTGCCATGTGTTCTGTTGACACCTTCCGGCACAAAGGCCTGCTCCAGTCAATACCCGGTCATGCGATACTCAATCAACACTTTCGCTAAGGCTCCTCCGGCCGCTATGGCCTGCTCTGCCCACCGCCACCTCCAGCTAGGCTGGGCCACGGCGGGCACCATGTCGGGCTCACTCATGCGTTCGATTTGATTGGCTTCAAGTTCCAAGAAGTTTCCAACGCCGAAGTTCCCATGTAGTTCAGAATAGACGATGAACATCGAGAGCGAGCGGTGAGTGCACATCTGCAGACCTTACATCGACCTATAGAATGGGACGTAGCTAGCAACATCCACAAAATCGAGCAGGTACGTCATGGAGATCAGCCCTGATATTCACGTGTTTTGTGGCCGCTTCGTTGGACCATCGCTCACAGCACATGGATGGTCCCCCTGCATTCTTGAAAACTAAAGCCGAGAGACTCCCTATGATTCCAAGGGTTACACACAAACACGCACCTCACATCCCCTTGAGATCTCCCTCAAACATGCCAGGTGAACACTATTGAGAGAAGAATGGAGCCTTGGTTGCCGGGGCTTCGAGTGGTTTATTTGACTGACAGATTCTATTCAAAGTGAAGCTGTATTTAAATGTCTCCACATCACAGCATTCATGTGGTCAACAAGCTTCAGTGCCTAAGGCATCCGCTGACCCTGTGAACGAGGCCTTTGAAGTCTCATGTGACCTGGTCCCACCCTCCGGCTTCAGTTGTCAAACTTGTCAATGTGATTCATGGGTACAACAACAACACCAACAAAAGCGCGCTCCCGGAACCTGTGTGCTGCCGCTCTGCTCCCCGGTGCCCCTAGGTCAACAACATCGTACTGTGCTGCAGTGAGCACAATGACACGCGGTTGAGTTTGTGTTTCGACATGAATATCGTTCCGGTTCGTCTACAGGAAGAGTCCATTCAGAAAAAAACGACAGAAAGAACGGTAGCAAGGACGCTATTAGGTGGCGGCCATCCCTATTAGGTTGGAGGCCATCGCTACTAGTAACAAGAAGGTACTGTAGTAAACAAACAGAAAGAAATAACGGGGCCTTTCGAAGTCCATTCAGCACCGATCTCGTTATCGCCAGGCCTTGAGGATCTCAAGCAAAGCTGCATCCCGCTGCCAGGCACCCCATGTATCTATGTCTATGTGTAGCTGTGTGTATGTGTGTGTGTGTTACGTCTGTATGATCATAACGTTGAAGGCTATATTGAATGTGCATGCAGCCTGAATGCTTACGCAGCTCCTCCTATTCCGGAAAGTCTCTTTCTTGTCTCATGCCTGTCTGAATCATCCTTTCCCCCCTTGGGCAAGGTTGCGAAGTGACTCCACAATAACATCAAGCCTACAATTCACTACATCAAACCCGAACATGTTGAACCTCAATGAACACGAAGTCAAAGCAAACTGCTTTCCCACCATTTGTAGCGGTGCAAACTCGCAGGAGTCCCGATCTATCCCAATCTACGTGGAGTCGGCCGCTGAAGTTCGACAGTTCGATCTTAAAGTGCGTAAGTTTGGTCAATCCTCCAACAGCGGCACACCATGAACATTAGATATGCTGCATCCTCTTTGAGGAGCTTCACATGGCATTAGCAAACTCTTGGTTGGCCTGTGTCGACCGCAACGCTTGAAACAATGCGCTTGTCTACAAGGAAGACAGCTTTGGTCTCCTGTTTGGCTGCAGTGTGCAAATATATATGTGCAATGGGCATTTCTTAATTAGAGTCAATTGATCTCAGTTGTAGCGGCGCTGCAGATCGCTGTGATCCTGGTCTGTTCGTTTCCCGGATGCAAATCTGGAGCTCCATCGTGATCTTCGGTTTCGGGTTGGATTCGGTTGAGAGACTGGAGGAAGTGAAGAATCACCTGGGGCAAATAGTTGTGGATCCGGTGCTGGCAGGAGATGTGGCAGCTGAACAAGTAGAGGATTGTGAGTCGGTTCAGGCAGGCTGGGTGACGTTTGGGTAGGTCTCATGGGCCGTGGCTTCTGAATATCCAACTTTGAAGGACCAAACACCAACTGCCTCAGCCTGGAAGCAAGTTCCTGCCGCATGAGCGGTGCTTCCCAAGGAGCTTCGACAGTGACGGTCAAAGCTTCCAGAAGAGGAGTCATATCTGCGATGTCTGCATCATGTAGATCAAGGGCAAATGTCTGCAAGTCATGTAGATCCTCACGTCTGCTGTTCAAACATGGTAGGTCGCCTACCAAATGGTCTAGGATGGTCACAACTCCACCCCAAAGGTGTGCTTGTGGAGTGAAGTCCAACAGCGGATTAGGTGGTTGGAACAGTGGTCTTTCCAAAGGAGCATGTGTGGGAGGTGTCAGAAGAGGAGGCTCCGTGCTGTGCATGGGCAGCTGTCGGCAACAATGCATGCTTGGCAAATTCAGGCTTGGTCCTGCGGGTTGTTCTTCTTGCACGGACGGAACAATGGGCTGGGATGGCGGAGGCGGAGATGGTGACGGTGGTGGTGGCGGAGGTGGTGCTGGCAGTATGTCTATGCAAACATGCCTTGCAGGGGTGATTGAAGAGAGCTTTCTTGGATACAAGTCAGGCAAGTCTGCCAGAGTTGAGCAGGAAGAAGCTTTGCGGCTTTCTTGAGGAACTGACTCTGTGAGTGCCTCCATGTTGCTGCAAAGAGGAAGGACATACGAGTCTTGTGGAGATGTGGTAACCAGTGGATGTGAGACAAATTGGACACATTGTGGTGACGGTTGCGGTGGCGGTGGCGGTGGGGGTGGAGGTGGCAGTACCACAACGAGCTTTCGTCTCAAGTACCGCCACGCCAACAAAGCAGCGAGACTCATGATGAACACCCCGACAACCGGGCACAAAATGGGGGCTAGCAAATCCGGACATGCTGTAGTGGTCATAGTTAGTGTGCTGCTGGTAGAAGTTGTAAATGTTCCTGTTGACGATGTGGAGCTG